TAGAGAGGCTCGGGAACTGCGTTGTGGCAGACGAAAACGGACGGAGTAGGGTTTAGGTCGTCGTGCACGAACACACGCCTTGGTGTCGACCGCGTGGGAGTTGGACGGAGTTGTGCCATTCGTTGCTTCAGCTGTTGCACGAACTTGGACGAAGTATCGGCTTTGAAAGCAAATGACTGCATGAATTCACCAGACAGGCGAGGAGGGGTGCCGTAAACAAACTCAGTCGCAGTGCATTGGATGTCCTCTTTGACAGCTGAACAAATAGCCAAGAGTACAATAGGCCGGTTGTCGCTCCATAAAGTTGGATCTGAACAAAACATAAACCCGGACTTGAGTTGACGGTGTAGACGCGTCAAGGATTCTTTAATTTTTATTTTCACCTGCAATGGAATAGGAATATAATTGTTGGGAGATGGAATACATCCCTTTGCTTTCTAGATCAGAGTGATACTTAAGTGATAATATGGGCGGTCTAGGTTTTCCGGCTGCCCGTTTTATTTTGCTAGTTCTTGGTTGTATGCCTTTCGATTGAGTACCTATTTCCTCTTAACCATTGTCCACCGTCAGAAGCTGAAAACCCGTATTCGTGGATTATTTGTTTGCCGAAACGCATGCGTTTGTCCAATTTTCATGGAATCCGCTCAAAGTCGAAAACTAAGCCAGCAACTTGATTCTGTTGAAGGCAGTGATTCTTCCGCCACAACCAGACCTACTCCTGTCACGGATCTCGATAGCCCAGTTAATTCGACGCTTCTTAAGGCCCTTCAATCAGTTGCAATATCCAATTCTACAGTAAAACCGGTGGAACTGCAGACAGAAGATAACACGGATGCACACGACGAGCAGTTCTCCAGTGATAACGGGGAATCGAATGCACCCTCTGGAGCGTTTTCTGATTCTTATTCCAAACAACCTAAACTGTCACAAAAGTCACACAGCTGTCGTGCTCGTATTCGTAACACAGGCGGCTCGAGTGACCTCCCGAAAAATGTTGTGCATGTTTTGCAGAACGATGGCAAAAAAATTCGAACGGCTGTTCGACCAAATACCAAAAAGGAGAAGGTTCCAGTAGGTCTTTGTTTATGCATATAGAAAATAATTCTCTTAACAACCTAAAAGCATAAAGTGTTCTATCGACCATTGATGTTCTTCGTCGTTATCTTATATTCCAGATTTCGTCTTATGCAGATTTAATGCTGATTGCTTTGCAGCTAAGAATTATTTATTGACGAATAAAGAGACGTAGGACATAGTTCACATTCAGTTAAAAGATGCTGCGACTACTAGACCGATGACCAATGGAAATTTCTCCCTGGAGCAAATTTTATAACTCAATGACACTTTGAAGAGCTTGCTCGACTGTCCATTGTAGTAAGACAGTAGTTCTTGCAGATATATCGTTAATTGCCCAGGGGGCGTTGTAGTGACTATAGCTTCATGGCATAAACCCTATAGAGCTCGCGGACTTGCTTGTAGTTAGGTATTTTGGACACGCGAGGTCTAGATTCAACCTACAACTTGTAACGCACATTTATGAAAGTGCCCACAATTTCGAATTCCCATGGTTGAGAATTTTATCTGAAGTATTTTATAGGCCACACGAATAATTTTGCTGACGCGTTTTTGCTTCTAATTTAAGCAAATAACACGCCTCTTCCTTCCTACTTAACAGGTCTTAAATATTACCTTATTCTTAGGACCAGCTCACTCGGAGTAGTTGTTGATAGTCCAATTTGACTTCCGAAAAACGGCCCTCAGTAAGTTTCGTCCTATGTTTTATCAAAACCCTCAAAATAAGCTATTCCTAGAAGGCGGTTACCGAAATAGCAAACGATTGAGCGTTTTGTAATGTAGATGGTCTTTTGGGTTAGATTCGAAATCTCGTCCAGGCACGAAACCTCATTGCAACAACCAAAGTCAACAATGAATTTGCTTTCGATCGATTAAAAATAAGTTTTCTGTAAGTTATCAATAAGTTGTTTATTTAAACAATGCTTTAACATAGCATTTTGTCAAAGGATGTCCAGATACTTTACTTTTTTATAGGGCAAAGCTAAGAAAAACCTGCATATTTGACCACTTTACTTTCCTAAAAAAATAATGATAATTTAAGTGTCACAAATATAAGGGTTTACTTTTCCCTTTATATTGTAGCCGGTTTCGATATTTTACCTACTTTTCTGGCCCCATTCTACGACTATGAACGCACATAACGTGAACATATAAATGCTGACATAGAGCTCAAACTGTTAACATTCTGTGTGTTCGTTTTATAAATTGCGTTTAGACAGAAACGGAAACGCTCAAGAAGTATCTTTCCAGAGGTTCAGACTTTCAAGTGACCATTAGGTGGTGGATAGTTTTGCTGTTTCGCCTAATGCACTCGCAAGGGTCAAGGAAATATCGGCACGCTTAAACAGGGGATTGCCTGTACTTACTATTACTGCAGGTTAGGGCACAAAATCACAGATTTGCAAACCCGACATTTAAAAATATAGAAAAAATAACGTGTTTTGTCTCAGCCCAATTTTCACGGTTTACATCGAACCAAAAGTCTATGTTACAGTGTGGGAAGCTTTCCGGCATGTCTGTCGAGGTTCACTCGCTTTCATCTTAAAGATACGAAAACTCAGTCTAAAAAGGTGTTTAAATAGGAAATTGCCCGAATATACGGACACGCAGTTTTTTTGCTTCAGTTTATAAATATTTTTACTGCTAATAAAATTGAAAACACCTGCATTTAAAATAGACAACTTCCGGAATCGGTTAGACAAGTAAGTCAAATGCACAAGGTTTTAGGTGCCTAACTAGGTGATTTCAGTTTGCGTCATCATGTTTCATGAG